ACTGATAATGTCTTTTGCAACTTTTTCTTAAATAGACCGAACCCGTATCTTGATGCCGTATGTTTAGCATTTGTTGAACAATATTTATTTTTCTGCTTTGCCTGTTCAAAATAATCATAGAATTATACAGCGACCGCATACAGTTTGTGCATATTGTACCATGATTTTACATTAGAAACTTTGTATTTCAATTTCATTTGATCTAAAACTCTCATTTTCAGATACTTATTGTTAGTCTTTACACTGTATTTTCACTTGTGAAAATTGTATTTTTCTTGTATCTTAACATTTTCCAAATCTACTTTTTATGTTTCTTATTACTTATATTATTAATATTCCGTTTGCTTATTATGTATGCATACTGTTCTTTTATTATTCAAATCTCTTTTTGATATCTCAACACTATCCTTGTTTTTTTTAAATATTCAGATTAGTTCAAATTTTTTACGTTGTGCTAAATCTTATTAAAATATAAAAAAAATCGTTTTTCTAAATCCTCTAAAAAATCCTATTTTTATGGTAGTTAAGAATTGTAAAGTAGTCCTTAGTAATAATATCCGAAGTACTTAATCATCTCAAATGATTTTTGAGGAAATAACTACTGATAGACTATGGGTTGGGCATCACCCATAGCAGGTAGCTAACTAAACGATACCTTGGTAATGTAAGGAACTTCGAATATATCGATACTTGTAAGATTACTCTTTGTGACAGATGTACATTCACTCAACCTTCTGTGTGCGTCGACAAATGATGCTTAACCTACAATAATATACTGTTATCGCGATATTTTTATATTAGAATATACTTAAAAAGGTACAGAAGTATAGTAATAATATTCTTATTGATTTCTGATCCTGACAGACATGCGAGATAATAATTGTAGAAGCTGCCACGTGTCAATACTGCATCACCTCTCTAATATTAAGAAAGTGATAAATTTAATATTTCATACCGTATTAGTGACATTACTATTCCATACTGAATTTTTAACATTTTGATTTGCATTTACCTTATTTGGTTAGTATAATCAACAATATTATTTTTCGCCTAATGAAAATTTTTGTATCATACTATAGATCACAAATAGCGTACTTAATATCGAGCATGTAAGTAATACTCTTCAATACTTTTGAATGTTCGATTTTTTAATTATTAGGAGACTAACAGAATAGTCATTTGAAACAAACAAATAAGCTTATCAAGTTGTTGATATGCGTTCATAATAAAATGGATTCCTAACTACGTAGACTTACCTAAAATACATCATATTTAACGGAAAACAATGAAACTTAAAGCGTTTCGATACATATATACATATATATGTAAACATTGGCGGAATATAGTTATATACTTCATATCATTCAATGTAAAATATGCTTCTCGTTTTTCATGTTAAAGAAAAACATATATGCATATTTATCTTTCTATACTATTCCATATAATCCACACAATGACTGATAAATTCAAGTAGGCATGCTTTTAAATAGAACGAAAAGAAAACGGTGCTTCCTTTGTTTTAAAGTACATATATACGAAACATGAATCACACAATGAGTCAAAAGTATTTGTATAGAAAGAAGATTTAAACAGTTAGAGATCAGCAAACTGAAGTTGAATTACTTATTACAAAATGATTTTTAGTAACTGATCCTGAAATTAGTGATAATCTATCATTGAAAACTACTCACTTCTTTTTTTTAAATTTTAAATCAATCAATTTTAATGAGTATTCACCTTTATTTTATGTTTCACATTTGTAAAAAATCATTTTGATAATCGATTTTGAATACTTAATGTTTGTATAGATGGCAACATCAACTTCACACGTGCAGTAAGAATTGAATAGTGTGCAATATATATTTCACTATATTATTGAAGGATTTATTGATTTACGAAGCTCGACGAGTCATTTATAATTCCGAAATATAACAAGTTTGAAGTTTAAATCATAAGAGTTAATGGGGGCCATCACATATGATAAAATAATTAAATCGAGCCAGATGGTGTACGTAATTATTAGAGGTTAGATAAAGATATCGGAACGAAAGAAATATACGTACGCGAAACGTGGAATGCAAACTGACAGTGAAATAAAGGAACAGACCGCACTGGACTGGTGTAATGGCGTGCGAATGGATTACGAAATATCACATTTCGTAACGTATTTCGCATCTTCTTTTTACATTTCCGAAGATATCAATCGATGGTACGATAAAATTTGTTTTTATTTTATTATTATAAATCTCATTATGAATAATAATGTTTGCTATACTTTTACTAAATGATTAAAAAACAAAGGTTACAAATGAAGATAAACAATCTTTATCTATTATACTTCCATTTTAAATATATCATTAATTATTCTTGTCATATATCGAAACCAAATCCAAATTTTATCGTGTTATGAATTAAAAATAGCTTTCTTCATATTTAAATGAAGCTAATATTTGCGTTATAATGAGATAAAATATACGTAGCTTGTTGATGCAACGAAAGAGGAGTTTCTTTTAGAGTAAAATTTGTATGCCTCAAAAATTAAAAATTCTTCTTTTCAAACATCTTGTATGCATTATAAGATGGAGTAACGACCGTTGGAGTATGTGCGTGCGCATTGTTGTCATACTAGAATGAAAAAGAAGAGCTCAAATACTATTTTTTTAAAATAATTAAAAATTTTACCAACAAATTTTTTTAATCTTTAAATTGTTCCATGATTAACAATCGATACCGTTGACAATAATCAATATTCTATTTTAATAAAATTTTAATAAAATGTTTATTGAAAGTGACATAATCGTAAATTACAGAGCTGAACTTGTGTCGTCTAAATGAAATGAAAGAATTTACCTGTGACCAAAGTTACACTCATCTGTTCGTATTCCGTGGCCACCCTGATTATAATTATCCAAGATTCGTTCGCTTCTATTGTTCCTGATCTATACCGAGATTTAAAGAGAAGTCAAACGTCAATCGATGAAAGAATTTTTTATAAAAGATATTTAACTCATCCGGGAATTGAATTTTACACCCTGCTTTAGAACATTTGAATTTTTATTAGTAGTTCAAAGAAGTTTTATTACGAGATAGATGTATGAAGAATAGCATAAAAAGAATCTAATCTGTATATATAATGTATAATTATAGAATCAAAAGTGGAGAAACAGATACCGGTGAAAATTGAAATTTTTTGAAAATTAATGTTAACGAACTGTCAATAGAAGCATAAACATTCCGGTAAATGATTAATAGTGTATTGTACTTTATCACCCGATAGAAAATATACAGTACGTTGCACTGTGCGTGCATACTTGATAAGAGTAACAAAGAGGAACGGGAAGGAATTATCAGGTCTACTTGGTGTTGTAACCAAACATCCACGTTTTCATGACTCGTAACAGGCCAAGTAAAACAAAACTATTGAAAATTGATCATTCAATGATCCAAAAAGAGAAAGACAAAGAGAAAAAGAGAACAACTGAAAATTATTTACCGGATTCATTAAGTAACCAGTATGAATAACGACATAATGCGTTCAATGAAAATTTTTTGCCGTGTTACACATGAGCAAATAACACGAAAATATGATGAGAATAGCAACAATGATAAGAAGGCTGCAGGGGTCATTCGCGTGATGCCGATAGGCTAGAAGGAAAAGTACACAGTATGACGTGTGATAAATCAATTAAACGAACATTAGATTTTCTACATTTATGAATGAAAGACAAGATAAAAATCTAGAAACTTGATTTTCATTCGACTTCAAATGAGAAGATTTCAAATGGTAAAGTATAATATAAATATAATTCTAATATTACATTGCTTAAATTTTTATATTTTATATTATTCGCGGTATAAATCTATTAAAATATTTTATACATTACAGTATAATGCGTAGACTTAACCTATACAAAGCCAATTAAAGCTAACAGTGTTTATTTAAATCCTACACTATCCATTACACTGATAACACACCATATGAGTTTTGAAAGAAATTTACATCAATCAGTAGTCCAAAGACATTCGGGAATATAATATTATAAATAAATAGAACAGGAATAATAAAAAAAATATTAATATTTAAATGTAAAATTAAGAAATATTGCTGATTTAAAGAATGTGAAATAAGAAAGATATATGTTACAGAAGTTTATTAATTTCTAAATATTGACTACTTGCTAATGATTAAAAACTCAGCTCTTTGTAACAACTGGAAATGTACTGTTATCAATAATATGTTTTGACAGACATTTGCGTTATCTAAGTCTCGTTGGTATGGATGAAAGAAATATAGAAAAATGTGGTACATCATTCTTTTGAGCAATTCTGATCGAAGAAACATTAAAACTTATGGCATACTTGTCTCACTGAAGAAAACAATGATACAGTGGTAAAAATGTATAAGTTTATTCACAAGATACTAAAGTATCCACGATCGCAATGCAAATATATAAAGCTGAACCAGTTATTTTCGCGTAGTATGATCGAGCTGCTTCTGACAATGCGTAGGATGTTTGTGCGGCCTTGACGATCTTGTGAGTATCGTAAAATTTTATGTTTTAGGGTGGCTCGTGCATGATAATAATAAGATACTTGAATTATCACAAAATATTGACGATCATAAGATATTAAAGTTAATGTATACTTTATATCTAATTGTTAAAATAATGAGACAACGTTATCGATTACTTGATATGCTGATAATATACTGCGCAAAATAATTAAAGAATCCTTCAATTTAAATAATTAAATTTCTTTTAATAGTGCAGAAATTTGATATTTTAATTGCTTTCAACAATATACAATCAATAATGACAAATAAAAGCAAACAAATCTCTGTTTAAATGTGCAATTATAAAAGAGAAACCACTTTTTATCAGAAATTAAATTTTCATATAAAATACATTATTTAAAAAATATTTTATAAATGAATTGTTTAGTTTTACATACGTTTTAATACTTACTATAAAATTAGATTTAACGAAAAATTTATCACTAACCTTTGACTAGCTTGTCGATACCACTTTTTATTTCCGCTAGGATCATTTTCGTGTTGGGGTGTTGTGGGAATGTGATCCCCGTGCAAATTACAATTCTCCAATTCCATGATTAACTAAAATAAAAACATCGTCAATTTTTCGATAAAATACATTTTTCCAAAATTTTGTTCCTGATGTCAACAAATTCTTATTCCTAATTTATTTCAGAACTCTTTGATTTGATTTTAACAAATGTATTTAATAATTACACATTTCCTTAAAAATAAAACTGTACTAATTGTATTATACTTGAAATTACTGTTCAACAGTAGCAAACATTTGTACATTAAAGAAAATACTACGCAAAAATATACTTTGAAGCAAATTATAAACAGCAAAAAATGTATCTAATTATAATGCAGAAAACTATAAATCAATTATGTCACAAAATAATATACACATTGTTTAATGATGGTTGCTTATCTATCAGAATGACATCATTTTTACATAAGTTTATAAAAGTATTCGAAAAATGTTAAGTTTTATCTACTAAATTGTTTAATAATGCACAAGCATGAAAGAAGTTGGTGCAAGTAATTTTGTTTAAGTTCTTACAAAAAATGATAAAAAATTATAGTTATTAATATCATATTTCTCAATCAAATTGAATATTAAAAATGTAAGGCTACATACCTAATATGTTCAAAATTTTGACAGTATATTTAACGTTTCATATAAATATAGACAAAAAAATTTGGAATATTTTTTTTAAGTTGAATATTGATACACAGCACGACAACCTGTCATTCGAGTACTCATTCAGCACTATCACCACAATGCGAACCTCACCGCACATTAAGACTATTCACTGAATAGCGTTAATCGGCAGGTATACCAATGCACAAAATTAAAGTATTCCTATGATGATTTCGCCTTGCCAAACATTCATAAGACATATATTAAAATTCATTCAAAGCGTTATATTGCAAATATAATATTAAGATACATTAGATATATATTTCGATTTATAATAAAGTAATTTCTTCGTTAGAAAATAAGTGATACTGCGGTATATATCATATAACATATGCTATAGTGTATTGAAGTTACAAAATGAGCGATATGTAAAATGTAGTTAAAATAAATATAATGAAATTTTTAGTATTTCATATAATCCACTAAATAATGAAAATCTTTGTTAACTTATATGATAAAAAAATTACATAATATTTATGTAAGCAACTAGCCTATTAAATATACTTAATGGCGCCAAATTAAAGTATTCAAATATTTATATAAAACTAAATTTATTATAAATTTACAAAAAATTAATATGTATGAAACATTACAAAACTACTACAAAATATCAGAATATAAATGTAAATATTAAATAAAAAGAATTTAAATGTTTTAGTAATAAATTAATACGTGCAACTATTTTAATACTATTTTTACACTTACAATATTACAGCGAACTATTTCCATTTTATAGACTATATACATCTAAAGTATTCGGATCATTAAATGAAAAGAAACAGCAAATATCTAGCGGAGAAAATAATGAATGTCAAAATAAATAACGTTAAGTGCTATATAATGTATAAATAATTTTACATTATTATAAAAATTTATAGAATATACACGACATACTTAAAATTGGTTCTGCACTACGTTTCCATTTTTCGTATCAGCGTGTGATGATCGATGATTTCAATGGGAAGGAGGAACAGGGTAATTATCAGTAAATGATGCACCTGCCGGATAGTTGAGTTATAAGCTGTACACGAATCACTTTGATCTGTAAAGGCGGCAGACGAATTCGTTCGTAGCGCTGTGCGTAACCCGTCCGTCCGCTGTCGCCTGAACGCCATAATTCGAGGTAAAATCCCATAATTCGTAGTTTTTGCAATTCTCCACGCGTCCGCGGTACACATCGTGTAACTAACAGTTGATACGCAGTCCTGAGGCGCCTGTGGCCAAACAATTTCGTTGCATCCTCTCTATTGCGTAAAATTAATCCGATTTAGGTGACCTCGACACGACATAACCTAACAATCTGTCTGCTGATAGTTCTGGATGATCACGACACAGGTCGTGTGTATATTTGTTCGTTTTATTAAATGCTCATATAAAATTACAGCTCGGAATCTTTGGAACGCATCAGGTAGTGCATAGTCATCAATGCAACGTTATAAATGTCATTGTAGCCCAACCCATTTTTATCCTCTCTTTCATTAAACTAATCTACAAAACTGTCATATTCAAATCAATCGTTTTTTTCTTTTTCTCTTTTTTACATTTATTTGTTTATTATTAGTAATAACTTGTTCACGATATTGAAATTGTTTATTATCTTATTTGCCCTTGCGAAAAGTACTCATACATAATAAAAGCACATAACCTTTACATTGATTTAATATTAAATTTTTTGATTTTATTAGATATAATCGAAAGCATATTTGTGTTCTGTTTGATATAATACTATTATTCGTAGTTACTTCAACAATTTTTCATTAATTGATTAATTTTTATTTATACTTTGCAAAGTTATGAATTATATTTTTGCATTATATACTTTTTTAGGATGTCAAAATACAATTAAAAATATTTGTAAAACAATGTAAATGTGATTAATATTATTTTAAATTGAATATTAATTTTTTATTTATAATTTATTTTTACACATTATAATATATAATGTATAATTTTTTGTATTTATATATTTGATATTTTAATAAATTTATTTTTTATGTAAAAAATTTGTCTCTTGCTTTCTTTAATACTATTAATATTATTGCATCTTTTATTTATGTAAATAACATTCATAAAAATAATATATTTTATTAAAATATCGTTGTGACATTAATATTGTACTTAGTTTGTGCAAATGTACATTAAATATTTATATTGTTCAATATTAAATTAAAGAATGTTACTTTTACATAAATTTGAATTTTTGTTTTTATTATATATTGAATAATTTATATTATTTATATTTTAATAATTATTCTAATGATTTTATATTGATTATTAAAAGCAATGCTGTGCTAAGACATTAAACGTCTTTAATATTTGTGGCCTAAGAATTTCAAAGAATTCAATAAATCAAGATGAATAATCAAGCATTCAGTTTAGCTGAAGGGCTTATTCCTTCAATTTATGTGCAACAAGGTTTAAATGCAAAAAAAGCACGAGAAAATCTTATAAGACATTTTATTGAACATGTAAGATTTCATACAATATTTTAATAATACTATATGCTAATAACATTACATAATTATTAATATAAATTTTCTTAAAATAGCAAAAGTGGCCAGAAGAGGGTTGGGATGATGCAACAATAGAAGCTTTCCTCTCAGATCTATCACAAATGGATAGCAACAATTTTCCTTCTAATTGTAGCGTTGGAGAACGAGAAGCAAGAATTGTATCAAACATAGTTGCAAGGCGACATTTTCGAATGGGTCATGGCATAGGTAGATCAAGTGATTTAGAAGAGGTGCAACCAAAAGCTGCAGGAAGTAGCCTAATGTATAAATTAACAAATGCTTTAGTCCTTGAAGTTATTCGATATATGGGTAAAATCAATCATTTTAAATTGTTTAATGTTTCAAATGAACTATTTTGGAATATTATACATTAAATACTAAATTTTTATTGTAGGTGTCAAAAGTATAGCAGGTTGTTTTTTGTCACCTATGGCTACAGGCATGAGTTTGGTGTTATGTATGTTAACATTTAAGCAAGATAGACCACGTGCAAAATATGTCCTATGGCCTAGAATTGATCAAAAATCAAGCTTTAAATCAATAATAACAGCTGGATTAGAACCAATTGTTATTGAAACTAAAATAATTGGAGATGAACTAAAAACAGATATGCAAAGACTTGAATCTCAAATGGCAGCTTTAGGTGAAAGTATTGCTTGTGTGCTCACAACAACTAGTTGTTTTGCACCTAGAGCATGTGATTCTGTTGATTCTATTGCAGCACTTTGTACTCAATATAATATTCCTCAGTTAGTAAATAATGCATATGGGTACGTTTGTGTGTATACTATAATTATTTTAAGACTATTTTTGAACAAATATTACATTGTACTTTATTAACAGCTTACAGAGTACAAGATGTATGCATTTGATTCAAGAAGCATCACGTAAAGGTCGCGTTGATGCTTTTGTTCAAAGCACAGATAAAAATTTTTTAGTACCAGTTGGTGGTGCAATTATTGGTTCATTTGACAAAAATCTTTTAGATCGTATATCAAAAATGTATCCAGGTCGTGCAAGCGCTAGTTCAATTATGGATGTAATGATAACATTACTAAGTTTAGGAATGACCGGTTATAAACAATTAATAACACAACGTAAAGAAATGTATGCATATTTAAAGGAAGAACTTGGAAAATTAGCAGCAAAACATGATGAAAGATTGCTAGACACTAAAGGAAACCCAATATCGATGGGCATGACTCTTCAATGTTTAAGTCACCAGCATGATAATAAGCAAGTTACAACATTAGGTTTGATGTTATTTCTTCACAATGTTAGTGGTACAAGAGTAATAACAACAACAGAAACTAAGCATATTGTTTCACATAAATTTGAAGGTATGTAATAAAAAATATGTGATTAGTATATTTTAAGGACAACTTAAAGTCCATCATGTTTTTTATTTATTTTATATGAATTAGGTTGGGGAGCACATAATAGTAATTACCCAGTACCATATTTAACTGCTGCTGCAGCTTTAGGTATGAAGAAATCAGATGTGGATATGTTTATACAACGATTAGATAAAGCTTTGACTAAAGTAAGAAGGCGTTCAGCTCCAGTTACACCAACAGCATCTCTTACTGGGTGTAGTATTAATGGAGATGCTGGAGGTACTGGTGGTCCTGGTGAATCTAGCACTGCTTCAACTAGCAGAGCAAGTAGTAAGGATAGCTTGCGAAAATGAACCGTAATCAACGCAACTGGCCAGTCGAATCAGTACATTAATTTGTAAGTAAATTATTACTTACAATTAATGGATGTTACATATTTCTGAGGAACATTTTACATCTTTATTTTCTAGTAAAATAATTAATAATCTCATAATATATTACCTTGAAATTTGTGTTTAAAATATATAATTTACATCAACAATTTCATTTTTATAAATTAAGTTAAATTACTTGTCAAATATTTATTTGAATATTTTTAAATTATTAATGTAATAATAATTTGTAATAATGTAATAATAATTTGTAATTTGTATAAGTATATTCTAAAGAGATACGTAACAACAAAATATGCTGATGCGTCTGTTCATTTGCGTTGTAACATTGTCAAATGTCATTAAAAAAAAGAAGAGAATTCCATATAAATTATATCAATATCATGATATCTTAATTGATATCAAAAAGGATAAAAATGTTAGTATATTCTATACATTCATTTACAGACATTAACTCATAACCACTGGCCACAAGTGTATCTGTTACGCTTGTACTATGTTATGATATACATGCAGTTACTTTTAAAGCAAGATATGAATTAAATATCTAATAAATATCCACTGGATATTGTTTATCAGTTCTTATTTTCATCTAAACAATATTACTATATAAAATTTAAGTAGATTATAATAATATAAATTAATTTCCACCTTTTAAAATTAATTTTCTGTAGAAAATGACATTCACATTAAATGTATTATTTTATAAATAGGTAATTGTGATATTATTAGAATTGATTTAATATTTTTAAGCAGAATGTATATTTTAAAGTAGTTATTACTTCAATTTTTAAATCTAAAGATAACAATTTGCATCTTTTTACATATATTTGTTTGTATTAAAATATTAAAATGATATGAAAAATTTGCTTTTGCTTATTGTTAAAAATAACATAATTCATAGAAAAAAAACATGTTATTACTTGTAAAGAGAAGTTTATAGTAGATACAGTATTTGCTTAATCACACTGTTATAGAAAGTGTGTATAAAAATTAGAAACATTTCATGTGAAAAAGAAATACTTTAAAAGCTTTATAAATTAAGATATAAACATATTGTTTATGATTTACAATTTTTTTGTTCTTCATTTCACACGTTTAGTTTCTATATAAATACGTATAAAAAAATACATATGCTTAGGCTCATATGTATGTATGTGCATAGTACGTGCTAATAATATTCAAACTTTGTTATTATAAAATATGATTTTTGGCACATAACAACAGTATCTTTTTTTAATATTCAGAAAGAAAGATATGTGAAACAAATTAGTAAATTTGAACAGTATATTATACTGCTAAACACAGTCACTTTTGAAATGCCTATACAAATTTTGGTATGCATTTGCATATAATAACTTGTATATGCATATTAAGGAAGAAATGTATTTTGAAGATTCACCTTTGAATAAGTTATTTTAATAATGTAAGTTTTTAATATGTTAATATGTACATTACTTCAAGCATAGTAAAATAAGTCAATTAACATTCAGTACAATATTTAATAAAATCAGAAAGTTAAAGAATAAAGTTTAAAGCATGTAAATAATTATTTTTAAAATATAGGTATGGTAAATGTTATTTGTATTTAAAAATTATTTATCATTGTTTTTACTTTAAAAATGTATCAAACACAACAATTATTTTAAAGATTATTTAAATTATTCTGTTTGGACCTCTGTTGTTTAAATTTTAATAGAACAATACAATATCTTTTGTTAATATATTAATATTATCTCAAACAAAGTAATATAATATACAAAAATAATTAATAAATTATATATATTATTACATTCATAAAAAGAATCAAAGATTAAGTATATTGTGTTATACTTTTCTGTTATAAATAAATAAATAATATTTATTGATTTGTAATCATTTTCAAAAAAAGGAAATTGTTTCTAAATTAAAAATATATTACAGAACTTTTATTCAGGGTGAATCATATAAACTATTGTAGTACATATTATCAATATAAAAATATTAATAAAAAAATATATAGTAAGGATTGCAAAAAGAATATTATAGAATAATGTATTGTAATTTAGTATATCTATTCCAATGTACATATAAATGTTTGTAATTTCTATATTATGGTTTACTTAAATATTAATTTTAATGTGTGTTTTAATTTTTTACTTTTTTATATCATAATTTTATATGGAGAATTTAAATTCATATACATATATCTTATAATATATACATATTATAATACTTTTTAAATATTTTTCATTTTTTTTATACACCTTGTAATTTCAACCAATATTATTATGAAAACAAATTATATAAAACTTTAATAAATACAATAGCTATATTATTTAATTGAAGCTTCCATGCTATGAAAAGCGACTATTATAAACAAAAGGATGTAAAACTTATTAAGTAAATTCTATCTGTTATACTTAATTATATATTGTAATATAATTATATGTTGTAAACTAAGAGGAAATAATTATTCATAGATTCACTTGGTTTATATCATTAAAAAATTTTATCATTTACTCTTAGTATTCAAGAAAAATCTACACATTACTAATATTGTATATACACAATTGTTTTAACAATATTTTTAACAATATATATAAGATATTTAAGATACTAAGAGAAAGCAAATTATAAACATTTGACAAATATACACAACACTTGTTAATTGCAGTATTAAGTTTGAGTAATCATGATACATTTTATTATCTAAATGATTATTTTACACATACTATACTCGTTTAAAATTCAAATGAAAATTAAGCAAAAACAATTTACTTGTTTAAAAAAGATTAAAATGAAATTAATATGTGGAAATAATATTTAATTAATTTAAAAAAATCATAATCAATGCTTTGTTTGTAATATATGCAACTATTGAATAAATAAAAATAAAAGTATCAAACAAAATTGTTTTCTACAACTTGTATTGTTACTGAAAATCGTAGAATAACATTTAATATTTTAATACAAAAAATTTATTAATGGTTAAATATATTATTGGTTAGTAAATTTACTATATAAACTAAAAAATATCATAATCGTTCTATGATATCTTTAGATTAAAACAGAACATTATCTTTAAATATGTATTGGAGTGATTTTATCGATCATTAATAAAATCCTTAAATAATGTAATTTCTAAATATTAATAAAATTTATAATTTTATTTATCGCACAATTTTTTTTAATGTACAAATGTTTTTCATTTTCCAATGTTGATTTTAATTGGTAATAAAACAATCGTTAAATATAACCTATAAGAATTCAAATATAACGTGTGTAACATTAAATTGAAAAATAAATTGTTATTTAATTTAACTAATGTTTTATATCAATTGGAATATTTTTACCATAATAAGAAGTATTTGTTGCTAATTAAGATATTTATTATTTTTTACATTTACTATTATTTTCTTAAAAAATATTTATTTTTGAATACTTATAAAATTTTCAAGTGTAAAATCATCAAGAATTAATATTTATGGTTTATTTCAGGGTATATAGAATGGCAAAAAATAAAATACAAGATAAATTTGGAAAATTAAAAAATAAAACTAATAACTTAAAAAAAGAAAATAAATATAAGATGTCGATGTTGAATATTTCAGTTACAGTATTATGTATTGCTATTGCCACTTGGTTTAGTTATAAAGGATACTTAGAAACAAGGGTGAATACTCCATTTGATATGAAAAAGGTATGTTCTATATTTTTATTTTTATATATAAATTTTATGAAAATCAACAATGAAATTATTATATGCCTGTAAAAATAGTTAGTTACAGCATCTGGATTAGATATTCCAGACAGATATTGGGGTACTTATCGATCAGGTGTTTATTTTGGATTAAAGACTCGAGATCCACATTCATTAGTAATAGGGTTGATGTGGTATTTTCCACATTTGTTACATCAAGATGGCAGTGGCCTTAGACATTGGTGTGAACAAAATGATAGATTGGATAGGTAAAGGAGATTTATTTTATTCAATAGTATATTTTGAGTGTTTTGTATAAAATTGCTTCTTTTTAATTTCTGTTCAGATATGCATGGCTAGAACATGATGGTAGAACTTTTGGCATTCAAGAAATAGTGGATAATTCAGCTACTTTAACTACTACATTTGCTAAAACACCTGGTGGTAAACATGGTGGAGATTGGACAGCAAGGATTGCTGTAACATCCAGAAATCAAATACGAGATGGTGAAGAAATTTCATTACTTTTCTATACTGCTATTGAAGAAAATGTTAAAGGGTGGATTAAAGTGAATATTGGTGATGAAAAGCAGTTAACAGGTGTAGAGGGAAATACTCAAGGCTTAGGTTCATTTACTATAAATCTTAACATGATAGAAGGAACTGTAGAAGAACATTCTTTCCTGGTAACTGTTGCTCCTGGATTAAATGCTTTAAAAGAAACTGTTCTTCAAAATCTTAGAATAGCATCTCCTAAAGGATCATCAAAGAAATATATAGTTTTAGGAGGAGAACAGATACCATTATCAGAAAATGGAAAAAAGAGAGATGCAAATTTTATTGCAACACAAATAACAGGAAGAATACCTTTTGAAATTGAAATTAATTATGAATCAGGTAGTTTTATTGATAGGGTCGACAAATTAACTGGTCAAAATTATAATCATGTTTTAGAAATGCACCGAAAATCATTTGATGTTAAATTTGAAAAAATTTTTAAATTAAGAGCAAAGGGTTACACAGAAAATGAAATTAAATTTGCAAAAATGGCATTGTCAAATATGATAGGCTCCATAGGCTATTTCTATGGAAATTCACAAGTGCAAAGTAAATATACTAAAGGACCCGTACCTTACTGGAAAGCACCTTTATACACTGCTGTACCTAGTAGAAGCTTTTTCCCACGAGGATTCCTATGGGATGAAGGTTTCCATGGCTTACTTATATCAGTTTGGGATTTGGAAATTGAACTAGATATTATAAAACATTGGTTCGATTTAATGAACGTCGAAGGTTGGATTCCAAGAGAAATGATTTTAGGTCAAGAAGCTCTTGCAAAAGTTCCAGAAGAGTTTGTAACTCAGATAAATACAAATGCAAATCCGCCTACATTTTTCTTAACGTTGCATTTCATACTTAAATATAAACAAGAAGAAATGTCTGAAAAATATTTTCAGTTTCTCGAGGATTTGTATCCTCGCCTACAGACATGGTTTAATTGGTTTAACAGTACACAAACTGGAGATATACCGAGTACGTATAGATGGCGAGGTAGAGATGGAACAACTAATAAAGAGTTAAATCCGAAAACTCTATCATCTGGATTAGATGATTATCCAAGAGCTTCTCATCCAAATGTCGATGAACGACATGTTGACTTACGTTGCTGGATTGCATTTGCTGCTGATATTATGTACCAGATCAGCGAAATGTTAGGTCATACTAATATTAAATATCAAAAGACCTATCAGTATTTATCCAATAATGATTTATTAAATGAATTACATTGGTCACCAAGTACACAAACTTATGCTGATTTCGGATTGCATACAGATAAAATACTTTTACGAAAACTAACTTCACCTTCAAGATCACATATGCAACCGTCGGAAACAGTACGAATTATTATGGAAGATCCAACTCTAAAATATATTGATTCATCTTTTGGATATGTTTCGTTATTTCCATTTATTTTACAAATTATCGATCCTGGTGCTCCACAGTTGGGTAAAGTATTACAGGATTTAACAAATTCTGATCTATTATGGACCAAATATGGTTTACGATCACTTGCAAAAATATCACCATTTTATATGAAATATAATACTGAACATGATGGCCCTTATTGGAGAGGTGCTATTTGGATGAATTTAAATTATTTGGTAGTGCGAGCAACATATTATTATTCCAATATTGAAGGTCCATATAAAGATGAAGCAAAAAAAATTTATCAAAATTTAAGGAAAAATTTAATACAAAATGTTATCAAACAATACAATAAATCTGGATATGTGTGGGAAAATTATGGAGATGGTCATGGAGAAGGTAAAGGAAGTCATCCATTTACTGGTTGGACATCCCTAGTTGTACTACTTATGGCAGAGATTTATTAATTATAAATTGATTAAAATTTATTAAATTTATTAATCATAGCAACATATTGTAAATAGTTTTATCTATAAATATATTATTTTATTAACAGCAGAAACAAGAAGTATTTGCATAAAATTATTATTAGTAGTGTATATATTGATTATTCATTTATTATGCATAAAAATGTGATAATATCTGTAAATTATTACAATCGTTTATAAGAATGAATACATTTTTAGAATAACAGGATACAGATTAAGACAGATATACAAATAGAACAAAACTATAGCAACCTAAGACATTTATTCACATAATTTGTAATCACGTATTGTAATTACATAAAATTAATTCTGTACGAAATCTATTTTAATAGTGATTCCAAATAATATTACCAAGTATCATATTTTTACACCAACTTACTAATTGTACCTTTATAACTTACAAGGAGAGTACAAGTCCTTCAGATCAGTGATTTAGTTAAAACATTGCAGGTTTGTAGATATCGTCATGCATTTTAAGAAAATATACCATTATAGCTGCAATTACTCAGTAGTTTTTGAAATATTTAGGATTAAAATTTTATTACGTCTGTAACTACAAATTTATTTCCAATGCTTTCCAAGTGGCGTTGCGTCCTAAGGGCGACAACCGGAAAGTAATATGATGGAGGTCCAGGGTTCGATTCCTGTCTATAGTTGTAGTTTCTTTTTAATCTATTTTTTATTTTATATTCATTTTTCGCCTATGAAAACATTGTAAAAAAACAATTGTAAGTAAAATTTCTTAATAAAAAAATTTATTTTTTACGCTTTTTTATATTAGTATACATTTATTACAAAATAATAAGAATGTTATGCAAGAAAAACAGTTTTCTATAGCAATGTTATTTACTACAGAAAGAACACCGAAATATAAATAATTATTAATAACAAATTAACTAGAATCAAATCATCTACAAATATTGTATAAGAATGTTGCCTATAATTCCAACTTTGCTGTGCAGTTATAAATATTCATGAATTAATAACAGAAACTTGGAAATTTATTAATTTTCTACTGCCGAATTGATTGATTAAGGTGTATTAGGGGCACATAACCTGAAGAGGTATCTAGTTCGAATAAAAATTTTACCGCCTACGATTAGAGCTATCTATGATTTTGTACCATATGCTCGGAATAGTAATAGGAACATAGAATAGGCGAGGAGATTGTCGAAGAACTCGTCACATGGTAGACAAGGACAGAGAGGGGATAGTAAAGGATAGAATGGCTTCGGTAGTGAAAAATTATTAATTACTCAATTTCCGTAAACAATTTGTGAACTTTTATAATTTCATTGCAAAGCTGGAACTTCAGGCTACATTCTTATATAATTTTTGTAAAGAATTTAACTCTAAATTTTTAGTTATTAATTTTTGTTTTATGGCGTCTATGATTTCGTAACGGCGACCATCACGACCTTCCGTGAAAATATTTATTACTAAACGAAACTAGAAACAAAATGTGATCAAAAGTTATATGAGAAGATTCGCAAGAACATTGTCTTTCTAATGAGTGTATAAAGTTTTACAAATTAATTGCGTAGAGGATAGTAATTAATGAAAAACCAATGGCGTCTTCGACAATTTTCGATAATAATTCAAACATTTCGTACAATAATTATTAATAATTAATTAATTAGGGACAAATTTATATCGAAAAATATATTGGAAAGTTCTTGAAGGATCTGCCTTTACCATGCAATTATAAAAGTTCATAAATTAATCACAGATTTTGAGTAATTAGTGAATTTTCCTCTGCCGATTTGATTTATTAAAATATATTCGTAGCATATAATCAGAGTTAGTAAACTGACATCAGAGCCGGAAATAAATTTGTAGTTACAGACGTAATAAAATTTTAATCCTAAATATTTCAAAAACTACTGAGTAATTACAGCTATAATGATATATTTTCTTAAAATGCATGACGATATCTACAAACCTGCAATGTTTCAACTAAATCACTGATCTGAAGGACCTGCACTCTTACTGTCATTAAAATAGAAATTATGCTATAATATCACGTTACTTCAACATAAGAAATTTTAATGTTTAAATTTTATTTAATAAGTATAATTAGGAAACGTTTCATATTAATTAATACTTTCATTAAGTATGATATACGTTATGAAATATATAACAAAACATATAATGAAATTATTTACATATTGTCATTTACATTTTAGTAAAGCTGAATAAAATTTGTTTGTATTTTGACTAAAAGAAAATGCTACATTATCAGTAATCAATAAATATTATTTCATTTATATATTTTTTAAATTACCTAAAAGTTTAAGTGAACTATTGGTTAACCTGTTTGTAACTAGTAACAAGTAATTTTATTTCTCTTAGCTGCCAATAGCTCCCTCTGATTTCACCAAAGAATAGGTGTGCGACTGGGGTTACAGTTGTGATTTTCCAAAGTTCTTATTCAAAATAGTGTGGTATTTAGATAATTATGGAGCCCTATGATGTAATAATTAATCAACCCGTAGTTATTGATAACGTAAGTAATATATCTAATTTATAAATATTCAAATATCTTTTAGTTCTTTAAATCGGTGTGTCAAATTTAATCCTACCATAATGTCGGCTCCTAAGCAACGCTAAAAATTTTGCTCTTTTTCTTTAAAAACTATAAATATTAGTTATAACGTGTAATTTTTAACTTTTTTTTATATAATTTTTATTATTAATAGTTTATATTTTATAAATACATTATATATGATAAGATTCATGATCAATTAGAAGTACAATAATTTCTGTAGTTTAAAATCAATAATGATATTCAATGATAGTACTATACAATTTTTTATATTTTATTAGGGTTCTGGTGTGATTAAAGCAGGATTTGCAGGTGATCAGATACCAAAATGCAAATTTTCAAATTAGTAAGTAAATCTTTTGTTACCACCTAATTAATATTCTTGACAGGTTATTACTATAGATTATTGACAAGTAGTAAAGCGATTTGTATTATTCTGAGTTCTTAATTTTTATATTTTTCTTTTTTCTAAGTATTATAATACTATAATACTGTAAGTATTATAATATTATATTATTAGTTGTACTAATTATATATTAAACTGATAATTTTTCACAGTATTGGCAGACCCAAACATGTACGTGTTATGGCTGGTGCTTTAGAAGGAGATCTTTTTGTGGGTCCAATAGCAGAGGAACATCGTGGTCTTTTATCTCTTCGTTATCCAATGGAACATGGAATTGTTACAGATTGGAATGATATGGAAAGAATTTGGTCTTATATATATAGTAAAGATCAATTAGCAACATTTTCTGAAGAACATCCTGTCTTATTAACAGAAGCACCTCTTAACCCAAGGAAAAATACAGAAAAAGCTGCAGAAATATTCTTTGATACATTCAATGTTCCAGCATTATTTGTTTCAATGCAAGCTGTTCTTAGTCTGTAAGTATTTGATCGTAATGAATTTTGTTTGCTATATAATTTGTTTATGTCATTAAAAAATAAATAATTATAACATTTTCATGATATTGTTATAATAATATTTAAATATTATAGATATGCTACAGGACGAACTACAGGGGTAGTTCTAGATGCTGGGGATGGTGTTACACATGCAGTACCTATTTATGAAGGTTTTGCTATGCCTCATAGCATTATGAGGATTGATATAGCAGGACGTGATGTTACTAGACATCTTCGGCTTCTTTTACGTAAAGAGGGTATTAATTTCAGAACTACGGCAGAATTTGAAATTGTTAGAACAATTAAAGAGAGAGCATGCTACCTTGCCAGCAACCCTCAGAAAGAAGAAGCTATTGAAATAGAGAAATTACAATATACATTGCCTGATGGAAGTTACTTGGAGGTAATAATTTACATTGTTTTATTAAAATTTGCTATTATTTGTTTAATTGAGTAATTGGTTGCAAATAATGATAATATGCTGTAAACTTATTTGAAAACTTTTATATTACATAATGCATGCAGAGTATTGCACTTATTTACAATAGATTGGTCCAGCACGATTTAGAGCTCCTGAAGTGCTCTTTAAACCATACTTAATTGGAGAAGAATGTGAAGGACTTCATGAAGTATTAACATATTCTATTCAGAAATCTGATTTAGATCTAAGAAAGGTTTTATTCCAAAACATTGTTTTATCAGGAGGATCAACATTATTCCGTGTAAGTATCAAATTAATGAGATTTTGCTAATATGATATATGTATTGAATTAATCTGTAAATATGTATATCTTATGCATTAGGGATTTGGTGACAGATTATTATCTGAGATTCGTAAAATGTCACCAAAGGATATAAAAATTAGGGTATGTATGTAATAAATACTCTCTCATTTGATTTTCTTCTATTAAGAATGTTTAAATTTTGACCCATAGATATCGGCTCCTCAAGAACGATTATATAGTACTTGGATTGGAGGTTCTATTTTGGCTTCTTTAGATACTTTCAAGAAGATGTGGGTTAGTAAAAAAGAATATGATGAAGATGGTATAAGAGCAATTCATCGTAAAACATTTTGAACTTAATTTAGGAAAACTTATGATGTTATGTCAAATAATTTAAGTACAACGCATAAATAATGGCACAGTCGGCACAAAAATCGACATGTACCGTGTTTACCATGTTCTTCGGATGCTTTTAATATTGCAATTTTTTAAAGTACTACTTCAACTTTTTTTAAGATAAAAATATATTCCAAGGGATCATAAAATGTTCGTATTTAACGAATTGAACAGTAATATAAGAAACAGTCTAATACAATTTATTTTATACTCTGATAATTTATATAAAACTTTTAATATGCTGATATTTATTTATTCATAGTTTAAAAATAAAATTTTTTTATATTTTTAAATGATACTCATTTATTAAGATTCCTTGGAAATGTACATAAAAGTTTCCAAAACTAGATACATTTTATCTTTCCAAATAAAATGCACTTGTAAAACTAGACACTAATTGTAGATTTAAAATGAAGTTTCTTTTTAGTGTACTATCTTTCTAAGTTATATATTTGTTTTTTATACTGTGTATAATTTTATTATATTTAATATAATAAAAGAATCAACTTCTATTGAAACAAAAATGAAGTGCTTTGG